TTGCGACAGTCGCCTCGGTGTTGGGGACTACATCGTGACAGTGTCCTTCGGAAGATGAGGTCAAAAGAAGGCCACCGATTTGTCCAAGCCGATGCGGAACCAAATTTGTGGAGCATCATGAAGGGCCAAGGAACTGATGATGATCGTGATGAATGGCTGGTCGGATTCCTGCTGGTATACGTCGATGACTTGATGGTGGCCAGTGATCCAGCTACTACACACACGATCATCCAAGTGCTCCTAGATGAATGGGAGACATCCGAACCTGAAGTGGTTGGTGAAAAGAAAGTCAAATTCCTCGGCATGGAGTTGACTCAGGCACCACAAGGTGGATTCCGAGCTTCCCAAGAAGACTACATCCTGGACGAGGAGGGTATCCCAGAAGGCCGAAGTGTGAAAGTCCCAATGACAAAGGATGCTCTACCATATCCAGAAGAACCAACCACTGAAAAGATAACACAAGCTCAAAAGCTGGTGGGAGAATTGATGTTGCTCTCAACAAGGACGAGGCCTGATGTCTCATTTGCCACTAGTCGGTGTGACACACCAAATGAAGGTCTAGAGTTCCGTCCTGGACGAGGAGAAGGTTGGGATGGTGGACCTAGATCCTTGGAGGTCTATACGAACTCAAGCTTTGCTGCCACACCAGAAACTCAGCTTTCTCATGGGGCCGTCATGGTCCTGTGGAATCGTGCGTTGATGTTTTGGAAAAGTGGGAAGCAACCTTTTCCGGCTTTGTCAACAGCCGAATCCCAGCTTTTAGAAGCAATTGAAGGTCTACAAACAGGAGATGCTGTCGATAGCATGATCCAAGAACATGAGGATCCCTACGTCAAGACCCTGTTTGTCGACAACCTGGCTGCCACAGGATTCTTCTCAGATGGGCATGCAAACTGGCGAACACGCCACTTGAGGCTTCGCGCACAACATGTCCGATGGAGGATCACCAACCTCGACTGGAGAGTCAGGCACCTGCGGCGCCTGCCTGGTGCTATCATGATTGCTGATTTGGGCACGAAGCCGCTTCCCATCCAACGAACACTGGAGCTTAAGGAGCTTATGTCTATGACCATCCAAAAGAAGATGGAAGAAGAGAAGAAGGAAGCAAAGGAGGACGGCCCAGGGGCAGCAAGACTAAAGGAGGATGGCCTAAGGGCAGTAAGACCAAGAGAGGAAGAAGATCAAGGAAAGGAACCAAAAGAAGAAAAGAAGGAAGTAGAAGAAGGTCGCTCCGGACTTCAGATCAATGCCAACCAGATGCAACTGGCAGTTCTGATGGCCATCATCGCGAAGGCTCGAGCACAAGGAGGAGGTGATGACAGGACGAAGGACCCTTGAAGTTCTTGGTGATTGGCTACACCTTGCTGGTTGCGCTGGCCACGCTCTTCCTGAGAAGATTTCTCGCATGGCTCTGTGAACCTGCAGTTCCAAGTGGGGATCACGCAGCAGGGATTCCAGTCGATCCCCCTGTGGGAGGTCCACCAGGTAGCACAAGCTCCGAGCCATCGCAAGGAAGCTCAATCGCTGTTGATTGGCAGGGAAGAGAAGTCAACAGGCCAAGTGCGAGGTCTAAAGGAAAAAGAAAAGGAAAGAGTCAAGGAAAGGGCGAGCAGACTGAGATCGACTGGGCCTATGGGGCTTCTCGACCAATGACCCAAGAAGAAAGAAGCCAGTTTGGCATCCAAAACCGTGAGTGGCTCATCAGATGGATGTCTTCGTTGAGCCCAGAAGAAAGGGTCATGGCTGGATTGGAGCCTTTGATGGGTTCTGGGTCTTCCGGGCCTGCATCGATGGCCACCTCGTCCAATACCGATCCCAATTTAGCTGGGGTTCAAGAGGAGCCTGAACAGGAGATTCCAGCAGAAGCTGAACCTGATGGTCCCGAGGCTATGGAAGTTGAAGAAGAGGAAACCCTTCACTATCCCTCACAGAGGGGTTATCGCGACATCAGGCTGGATGAAAGCTGGGAGCCAAGTCATGATCCTCCACCACCAGCACCGAAGGCGGCCCCGAGAAGGTTTCAGCAGGCGGGCTCAGGAGGAGGAAAGAGTGGAGGATCAGAAGGTGGAAAAGAAGAAAGTAAAGGCCGAGATAATGTGGGAGTCTTCATCACCACGTTCGGCCAAAGGTACCACCTATTTGAGTCCTGCCAGTCACTCCAGACTTCGATCTTGAGGAGCTCTCCACCATGTCACAGGTGTGCTTACTGCAGTGAGCAAAGCAGGCTTCGAAGGGGCGAACCTATCTGGTGTAGAGGATGGGGTGAGATCTACCACCGGAACGATTGCCTTGCTCGACTGGCAGCGAGAAAAAGTACGACCAGTGTACACTTTGCTCCCAAGAGCCGAAGGCGGGGCTTGAACTTGTGAAGATGAAGATTCAAAGAGGGACTTTGGCAGAGCTGTTGGTCCCTATGGCCATTTTGGCCTTTGCAAAAGAAAGTGGCTTTGAAGCCTACGGCTCATAACTGGCCTTGCTGGAAAACCTGGAGCCTGAATGGTTGGGCATGGAAAACTATGTTTGTTGGCTGCATTGTGATGGGTACAACGCAGATGATGCTCACCACACCTTCCGGGATAGCTGAACTGGTGAAGTTTTGATGAAAAAGAAATGCACTGGTGGATCACCAACCACCTACAGCGAAATGGGGCTTGAGCCTGGGAAAGGCACTGAAGCTAGCGGCCAGCCTCACGTACGGGAAGAACGGTTCATCGGGAGTACCCGGTGGCCGAAGGCTTTACTCTTGGAGATGTCTTCAACGAAGACAGGGGGAGTGTTGACGCACTTCCATGAAATGTCTGCATCACGCAGCCCTTTTTGTTGAGAGGGCCAGATGGCCTCGAAGACCTCCCTTGAAGGAGGGACCCCAACCAGAGCGTTGAAAAAGAGCAGCGGATCTGTTTTGTGCATTTGGTTTGGGACTTGTGTTTTTCGGTCATGTCCGCAGAAGGGTATCAACAGAAACAAAGAAATGTAGGGGGTGAGGAGCGCCACTGCAAGACTCCTGCCAACGAAGACACTTGCAATTGGTGGTGGTGCCAGGCCTGATAAGTCTGGCGTACTTGCAGTGATGACCCTGAGAACTTCCTTCTCCATCGGCAGATGTGCGTTTGGTAGATTTGCTCTTGCATTTGAGACCTGATGTTTTGTCAGACGCCTCACCACTTGGTGCCTTTTAGGTTTTCTACCCCTGGGCTCTTAGGTTTCATACCTAGGCCCTGTTCACTGTTTACCTCTTCATTTCCCTTACACACTGCGCACGTCGATGTCATGTCTTTCTGTCTCGTGTCCTTCATCTGTCCGTCTTGCGCATGCATGTGTGTCTTTACGTTTGTTACTTCTTTCCGAATTTACTTCCCTTACAGGAAGCCTTTGGGAGTTTTTACCTTGGCTTTCCTGCCGACGAAGATGGTGAAGCCAGACCTGATCAGTTTGGCGTACCTGCAGCGATGACCCTGAGAACTTCCTTCTTGGTCCCGTTGTAACTACAACAAACTTTTGGCCCTTGGATCGGTTCTCCATCGGCAGATGTGCGCTTGCTAGATTTGCTCTTGCATTTGAGACATGTTGTTTTGTCAGACGCCTCGCCACTTGGTACCTTTTAGGTTTTCCAACCCTGGACTCCTAGGTGTTCAACTGTGCTGGTTTAGCGTAGTTGCTCGCGTTATGGGGTTCCCCCGAGGCATCCGCGCGGTAAAAATGATAAAACAATGTCATTTTTTACCAGTTTTTACCGGGGGGCACCCCTTTTTCTTCTACCATATCCGCGGTAAAAACGGTAAAAATCGATGTTTTTCTGTTTTCACCGTTTTTACCGGGGGGGCGCCCCTTTTTCAATACCACATCCGTGGAAAGAGACGGTTTTAAAAAAGATGCATGTTTTTTCTGCGGGGTCGCGAAAGGGTACCCCTTAGCAAAACAACGCTCGCGAACCGGCTTAGCATACCTAGGTCGGCGCGTGCATGGCCTTGGTCGCAGCGACCGGAGAATTTAGAGACCATTGGGTCTCAGTCCCGGCCTCAAAATGCACACACGGCGCCTTACATACACAAACGAGGCAGGTAATGAGTCTTGGCTCCGTCCGTTTTGCCCCTCTTATGTGGTTCCCGTTTCCACCTGTTGTTCATCGTTTTTTTCATGTTTTGTCACTCCATCCCTTTCTTTTCTTGCGCACACATTGGTCGGATCCTCGATCTTGGTTCGTCCGTGCATTGTGCAGTGAAACAAGGTTGTTAGGTGCCCCGGGTTCTGGATAGTGAGGTTTGGCTGATTGGTTGTCCCTGCTCACTTGTTTACTTCTCCATTGCCCTTACACACTGCACATGGCGATTTCATGTCTTCTGTCTCGTGTCCTTCATCTGTCCTTCTTGCGCGTGCATGTTTACGTGTCTTACTCCTTTTGCCTCATTTGCCTCCCTTACAAGAAAGGAGTTTACCTTGGCTCTCCTGCCAACGAAGACACTTGCAATTGGTTAAACCAGACCTGATCAGTCTGGTGTACCTGCAGTGATGACCCTGAGAACTTACCTAAATCAGCATGTGGCACACCGCAGTCAGTTCGTACGCATCATTTCCGTGAGTATTGATCGAAAGAACAGTCCTGTCCTGCCAGTGCTTCATGATGATGCATCCTGCTTTCACTCTCCAAACAGCCATCTAAAAGCCTTTCGTCAAACAGTATGGAGCCTGAGCATCCGTGCAAAAAAATGTGCACGCAACATTCCACAGCCAACTGTCCCAGGAGTAGCATGGTCGTTACTCCTACAGTGGCGGCTCGAGAGGTCTGGGTTTCTCTTCCCTTCGCTTCTCCTCTCTTCTCGATGCGATTCAGTGCCACTTCATGCCACTTCACGTGTGTCCAAGTGGACATGAAGTGGCGTAGAGATGCGAAATTGAACGCCCCTCCCAGCAACCAAACTATGCACGACGGGTATCTTACACCTTACCCGTCTTCCTCCAAGGCTTTCATCCCACCCTGGCTCAGTCCCCTCATCGTTCGCCTCAAATGGGGACTGTGGCGATGCCAAGGCTGGCTCGGGCGGTAGACGCGGGCCGTCCCTTTGGCGCCCGGCCGATCACCAGCCTCGAGAGACACCAATCAGCTGGGATTGAGTAGTTTCGGTTCATCCCAAAACAAAGAAGTCCGATCCAGAAAAAATAGGCAGTCTCCGAAGATATGCCCCAGTCAGAGAAATTGAAGAAACAAAGACGCAGAGATTCGAAGGTAATTGGAACGGCAAGACGCGACCACAAAGAGCTTTCGAGTATGAGCTGACTGCTCACTCTTGAATCCTACTCCTCTCTGCATTGCAGCCAACTGTCACCAAGCCCAAAAAAGGGCCAGACGAGTTGACAGTTGACATGTGTCCGTTTCAAAAACAAGGACAGCCTATGCTTTAGGCTTTAGGCCTTGGTAGAAGAAAATGTGAAGCAAGCGTCACCCAATTCACGGCAGCCCGCATTTGGTGCCAACAAAAAGCAAGCACATCCCAGGAGTCTTCTTCAACACCTAGTACAAAAACGGGCCTGGAAGATAAGCTTTGCACCAATAAGATCATCCTCCTCGCTGTCCTCCAACCAACTCCATGTCCGACGACGTGGACAACAGTTCCGGACGCCCACAGCTCGGGGCCCAGGGATGCGGTGACCAACAGCTCGAGGGGTTTCTCAAGTTACTCCACTTCTCAGGAGGCTTGGGCGGTACCTTTTCTGGCGTTGACCCATTTTTGTGGCATGAGTCTACGGGAGCAAGTCGTGACCCGCAAATGTTCGAGGCCAGAATGTGGTGGGCCTCCCCATCCCAGCAGAAAGCCACACAAGCAAACCACAAGTGTGTGTGCGTGTGTATAGCCTGCCTAAGCAAAACATCCAATACAAAGGCTCAAATACCCGGTTCCGCAATATGGAAACTTGTAAGTCAACTATGTCACCGCAAAGATTAAAAAACAAAAAAGAAAGGAACACCCCGTCACGGACGTCACAAAAACTGCTCTCCTCGGCATCGTCCACCGTCTCAGCCGCCCAACTCTTGGCACTCTTCAGCGTCCCACAATCCTTCGTGGCCATGGGCGTGCCCAGTTGTGCCACTGCATCAGTGAAGTCGCCCTCCACCGGGCGCCAGCCCTGTGGAAGTTGGGAGTGGAAGTCGTCTTTCCAGCTTGTTGGAAATGGGACCACTCGATTAGGTCTGGGAGACCAACCAGAAGGGTCCACCATTCACAACCAGAAAATATATGCGCACGTGAAACTTAATGTTGAGCAACCAAAGGACCTTACAAGAGGAGCCAGCTCGATCTCTCGGTCTTACAGCTCGGTTTGGACAAGCCAGTCGGACCCGGCCATGTTGAAGGATTGGCCCGGGATTGCCCGGGATTATGACTTTTGTAAGATTGGACCTTAGATGCCTGGATTGGTCAAAGGCCTCCCTGCTGGCCACGACCATCACACCAACCACTCTAGAATCCATAAAGCCCACAGAAGTGGCCTTCTCGGGTTCTATGATGCACTTCTTCCGGGTAAGGTCCAAGACATCCTCGTGCGCCTCATGTGTGAGGCTGGCGGAGAGCATTTGTTCTCATTCAACTGCCAAGAACTTGGATCCAAGTCTAAGTCGGACCCAAGTCCAAAACAATGTATAACTAACATATAACTAACCCTTAGTACTTATATGTGCTTATATATTTCAGTCAGCTTTGCTTTGGATGTTTGGGTTCCACTTCTGAAGTACTCAGGCAGAAACACACGCTCCTTTTCACACTCAGCACTGTCGTTGACCAGTACTTGAAATCAGTGGTCAATTTTCCTCTTGTTCCTTTCTGTTTTGTGTTTTACTGTATGGTCTTTCTTTGTTTGTCATGTTTTTCCTCTTCGTCATGCACATCCTTCCAATCAAAAGTCTTTGGAAAGAACTTCGATTCCAATTCAACAACATCATCTCTTCGTTCCAATAGCATGTTGCTCGGGCTTCAGTTCGGCTTCAGTTCGGGGTTCGGCTGATCGCCGGCTTTTCTGCTTCAGGTGTGGCCTTGGTGGCCTTTTTGGCACTGAGTCCTTGAGACGCTTTGACTCAAAAATTTGCTCAGAAATCACATGCTTGATGAAACCTCCTTTTTTGGCACTGGTCCCATTATCACATCACGCGTTTCGGCTGCAGTCATGGAATCGGTGGAAGCATCGTACAGTAGCTTCCAAACAGCGGAGGTGACTTCGAATCTGGTTTAGGTGGTTCGGTTTTAGGTCTGCTGGTGCAGTTCACTTGTGCATCAAAGCCAATAAGCCCGAGCCTGGAAGCATCTTAAATAGGGTCAACCAGCGCTTGGATGTCGCTTGATGAGCCCAACCCCTCCGCCAAAAGTAACATCCACGACCAACAGTCCTATCAAACCAAACCAACTTAACCCGGTACAGAAGCAAAGATTAAGAAAAAAACATATAATATATATATATACATAACAAAAAACATTAGAAACGTGTATTGTACATACATGTACACTCAGTACACCAACCCAACCGTCCCCCACCACTTGGCCCTGACGTCGCGCCTCACCACAGAGGACCAGGGCCACGGAGCGGCCCAGGAGCTCTCCCCGCAGCGTGCGGATCCACTCAGGGCCGCAGACGTGACGATAGGCCTCGCGCCGTCTGGTCGCCACCGGCGGGCGTCTCCACGGGGTAGCGATGGGAGGAGGGTTGGAAAGGCTCAGTAAGTGGGTCGCTCACTAGCTATATACACCTTTTACCGGTCATCCGCCATTGAGGCAGAACCTCATGATCACGGCGTCGGTTCGGGGCATTCTCCTATTCCCAGAAAAGTCCTAAGAATGATTCCTGGTAGAAGGTTCCCGCTGATTTTGGAAATTTTTGTGAGGCTATTTTTGTGAGGCTTCAGATACTGTCAGTATATGACTCTGCTGCTGACCCCCCTGGCCCAACACCCCAAACACCAACTCAAGAACATACCACTGAAGACAGTGATTAAACAAATCACCTCCAGCAGCTGACCATTCGAGCACACCTGAGCTGGCTCTGGGAGCCCAAACCGCTTCTCTACACCATTTCTAGCTATCAACTGAAATCTTAGTGACAATTTTGTGCACCTCAAAGAATCCAAAGCCAAGTCCCAAAACTCCTCATTGCGACCGGCTGCCGGTGCCGTTGCGGGGGAAACCCGCCTGACTGTGCGCATATGCCAGGCCCTTGGAAAAGCTCCGCAGCCGCTGCAAGCCCCGAGGCCTGGTCGAGCGTCGGTGAAGCCTGGAAGGCCTGGTGAGACATCTTGCACGAGCTTTTTCCGGCCAAGCGCTCGGATTCACTGATGTCAATGTCCACAAAGTGCTCAATCGATGCCCCGCGTGTTCGAGAATCAATGCCCCCAAAAACCCATTCAAAGCCACCCTTCACAAAATTCATACTTTGGGCCCAAACACCTCAAAAAAGTGGGTCCCCATACCCATTGACCTCAAACAAGTCCATGGCTAGGCTTGGTTATGTGGAAGTCCATCAAGCGTCCTGTGGATCCCACACTTATGATCACTACCTGACCTTAAGCGGGGTCTCTTCGCACCTCAAGAAGTGCTCTCTCTATATCTACCGACTCTATCTATATAGCAACCCTTTATATGCCAAAACAAATCGCAACATCCTGGTACATCACTGGGCTTCCTTTCGCCATTCCTTTACCACACACCCCGCGCAGCCCCACCTCTTCCGTGCAGCCCCCGCTGCAATGGCCGGCCGCTTGGCATCGATCATGTCGCCAGAACGAAGCGCTGTCCGCAATGCCAACACGGGGTGGAAATCCAAGCAAAGTTGTTGGAACAAATCAACATAAACCCAAAAAGGCACGGAAGATTTACAGAGACATAACAAGAGACAGAAGCAACAAGCGATTACTTTGTGGTTGGTCCTTTCATCGGAACCTAAAGACCAGTAATTTGTAGAAGATTAATTCTCTTGCTGATTCCGGTCACGCCGTGCAGTTCTTTGAGGATTAGATAATTAGACCCTTGGACAATCTTGTTGTTGAACCTATTGGCTTCCGAAGCGCTGGCGTGGGTCAACTGTCTGGGTCGTGGCTTCCCTCACATGAAGACGGCCTGACAATAGGTATTCCGGAGGGTGATATTTATTACCAGCTTGGAGAAGCCAAAGGACAATCCAACAAGAGTCCGTTTGAGATTGATCTCAGACCTTATCACTGATTGATTCCAAGGCTTGGGAAATCTGACTGTGCCTGGGAACCTTGAGTGGAGATCATCAGTGGACTATCATGTGGAGCTGTGAACCCAAAACAGTGTTGTCATGTGTTTGCATTATCTCCAGATATCTCTCAGCCTATGCTTGTAGATGGCTGCAAGCAAGGCAAGACTCCGGAAAGTATGCAGGCTAAAATATTGACTTTTTGAGGAGATTGGGTTGTTGCACACAAATGAATTCAGCTTTGGTGATTTCACTACAGTGCCCTCATCCCACTGATCATTGGCTAGCAGGACATGCCAATGCTATCTAGCATCGAACCCATCCCGGGGTGAATCGCATTGCAAGTCATACCCTGAGATATGAACCGTGAAAAACAAACGAACGCTACTATCTAAAACCCAAAAGTTGTATTTCCACGCCCAAAAGCACAAGTGTCACAAGTGCCAAGCAAAAATTAGCAAACATCTTAGAGGGGCGGCGCCCACGTCGCACGATGTCTTGCCATTTCTCACAGGCTTGGAGGCGTCCACGGCCAGCATCCGCCCCAGCTTTGGGGACGAGGTTGCGATCTGGACGCCTGAGTCGAAAGGGCCAGGTTTGGTGACCACAGTTCCTTACAGGGAAGCGGCATGGACTCTATAGTTCTATGATGTTCTATAGTCCATAGGGCTCCACATGACTTGTGGAGTGCCTTTGGTCATGTAGACACAAGTCTTTTGATGCTTTTCGTGGGGGCTCAAGATTCATCAAAATGCAACTGCGGGAGAAAGAGGAAATCTGAAAAGTTTCTGGAAAGTCATCTACACCAGTTCTTCGCAGCTCACATCCTCTCAACTGCTCACACACTCCGTTTCTTCCCAGGCCACTTGCAGTAAATCACCAAAATTGGTTCACCATGCATCTTAAAAACACACCCAGAACTCCGAAGGCTCTTGGAGCTCCCTCCAGTTTCCATGTTTCAGTTCCGACCCCACCTCATCCCTTCACTCGGACGGCTCCTGATGGGTCCCGTCCAACACCCCAGGTCGACCCGAGCGAAGGATAAAAATACATGATTGATGTAACTTTGGGAATGTGATGTACATGGTTCATCTAAAGCCTTGGTCAGCAAAGGCCTACCCATTTGTGACTGACGGTGGTCGACATCTGGTGCATAAGCCTGGTGAGCAGTATGAACCAACACGCCACTGCTCGCAGGTGAGCAAGGTGGGAAGGACAAACATCTAAGGCCTGCACAATGCATAAACCCCGTTAAATTTGCAAACGTCATTCTGAAAACAGACTCTTCCAATCGGTTCTTCCGAGACCAAATCGCCAAGACCTCCAACGAGCTCTCACCAAATGCAACGGTCTGAGAGGCCCCATTTGAAGCAAAGCAGCAATGTACAGTAAATTTAAGTTTCTCCTAGAACCAACCATATTCTTCAGTCACCAACCACAGGACCTATTCAACCCTTTTCAATCCTTGGTTCTTAATCTCAATCTCTATCTTGATACCATCGCGACCTTGAAATCGATGAATGACAGTTCCATCTCCTCCTTCCACCCGCATCTCCTGCGACCCCCATGGTCGCGGGGAACTCCTTGGCCTCACGGTTGGGCCAAGCTGCCCTTCAACCACTTGAATCATTTCAGATATGGCGGATTGTGGGCACCCTCCAACAAGTGGTTTTGGGAGACTGGGAGACTGGTGGATTGTGGGCACCCGTCGTGGCCAAGAAACACCTGCTGGAGGCTCTAGTAGATAGATTTTGGCCAAATGTCCAATCGAAGAGTTGGCAGCTTCTACGAACCAAAAGGTGTCACTCTCCCATCATCGAAGGCGGAGAAGAACCCCGCTCCACACGTCGAAGAACCCCGCAGGTGTTTCGCCGGCGGAGCCCCCGGACGAGTCGAAGGCGTTGATCGGGTTCTGCGAGTAGAACTCGCTGAGCGCTCCCGGATCCTGCAAAGGAGCTTTGCCTCGGGACCGGTCCAGCGCATCTGTCGACGCGAAGGGGTCGCACCAGAAAGAGGTGAGATAGTTTTCATGGAAACGATCTCTGATTCTAAGGATCGTAGACTTGAGGTCCGTGTGCCCCTTTGGTCCCCCAAAAAAGACACATGCGCGGCGCACAACTGTAAACTGTAGGAACAAGCAACGACCAAGACTTTGGAGATCTTAAATCAGCGCTAGTTAGTCACTGTTTTGAAACACACCCGCATTCTAAACAACATCCTCAAATCCTTGCACCATGTCACTATGTTGTATCCAAGATGATCCTCCTTCAAAGCATCACTCAGAACCGACGGCATCTTCTGTTCAAAACAGAATCCTCGCATCAACAAATCATCAGTCACGTTGCCGAATCCTCTGGGCCGCTGGACAAATCGCTTCAGGCAAACCCGGCGTGACCCGCAATGTGTTCTGCCGAAAGGAGTTCTGGCACGTTCGGGCGTTGTCGTTGGCATCAGGTGGTGGTTTCCCCATCACCCCATCACCTGATTCAGGCGTGAGGTAGTTGTCGTGATGGGCTATGGGCAAACAGAGACTTCCAATGAATGAAAAAACACAAAAAGAATCACTGAGAAAATGAGAGCTTCAGAAATAACAGTGATACGACCGAACATGTTAGCCGTGGGAAAGACTTGACTAGCACTAAGCACCAGGGAATCCATCACCTTTTCTGGAAAACAACCAGTTTCGATGACTTGCTTCCTGTCAACTGGGTTTGGTACCTAAAGTGTTCAGTTTGGCCATCTGAAGTCTTGTTTCTGTATGTTTGACATGTTTGATAGACTTTAGGCCAGCTTTTGCCTGCCCTGCTTCACATCACGACCATAATTGCACCAACGCACAAAACGGTGACTCTATGCTCACTTAAAAAAGAAGCAGTTCGGTTCGACGCCCCCATCGGAACCTCCACCTCCATGTCCGGCAGGGGGCTTCCGGCCTGCTGGTCTATTCCGAGCTACTGACAGGATCCCCATGGATCACCACCAGGCCACGGAGTGGGTGTTCATAACCACCAGGTATTCAAAACGCCCCTTTCCATCCATCCTAAGGTGTCAGGTCTCGGCGGTCCCAGAGCCAGAACAAGAAGTATGGACCATCTCCCGTGCCAAGATGGCTGTGGTTCACAGACGTGAAAAAGAGGACTGTCCGCCCCCATCTGCAAGAAGTTTTTCACCTGAACTTGTTTCAGCCACGAGCCCGCTCTTTGCCACACCTCCATGCTGGGGAGGTCGCTGACCCTGGCCGTGTTCGACTCACGCAGTTAGAAGCTAAAGAGAAAGAAGGGCAAGGGCCGGCAAGGGGTGGATGGGAAGCTGAAGTTGTTGGCCTTTGCCATCCCCCAGGACCGGAGACCACGGATGTCCCTCCAGAAGAACCATCTTCCGTGTTCACCTGGTCATTGAGCCTGCTTACCGGTGTTACAAGGGGCCCAACATCACTGGAAACAGCCAAGTGATCTGCATTCAGCAAAGCACAAGTCCCCTCGCCACGAAACATTGACATCGACCGGGAATTTCAGGAATGAAGCGCACATCAACCATAGAACTTATAGCCTATAGCTGTTCATCATAGCTGTTCATCATGTTTGGTTCTCCCTTCTTTGTATAACGTTTCAGAAAGGCTAACCCAACCCTCCCTGTGCCACAAATACCCCGTGTGTTCTTCTCTTTTTCGACTGCGTTGAACTCCACTCTTCAGAAGAAATCCGGCGGTCGAATCCGCGCATCGTCCCTCCTCCCCAGCCCAACACGCCATCAGCTGTCTGGGCACACCGGCTGAGGGCTCTGCTCCATCTCTCCAGCCTTTCTTGCCTGCTCCTCCTGCACCGCCTGCTGCCGCTCCTGGCGGGCGGCACAACCTGGGAATTCATGGAGTGCATCGACTCTTTCTTCCATCAAACACATTCCAATCTCCACCTGTCACCGTCGCGGGACGGGAGGTGACAGGAGGCGACAGTCGTCGTTCCAAGTCGGTCCCTTCCGCGTCCTCCCTCGTGATGGGCTGCATAATGCCCACCGCTGCCACCTGTTCAGCTGAGCACTGTTCAGCTGGCCAGGAACTATTGGTTATATTGGAACAAATTGTCCATCGGTCACCAAGCAAGGAAACGATGGTGGAAGATGATCGTGGTGTCATTTTTGGTTTGGGAGTGTAAATCTGGTATGATTTACCATCTTCACATATCCATGAACGCTATCCAAGAAAGTGGAGAGGGATTGCTGTTGGGTGTTCGCTGGTTTAGTCTATTTGATTAATTCGCAGGGGAGAATGCTGGATCTTTATCAATAAACAACTATTGACATTTGTAAACTTAACTTTCAACATGCTGGAATTTAACCCTGTTGGGAGTCGGGAGGTCACTAGTCAAAATCCACGCTTTTTCGCAAAGAATATTCTACTGATGGGTGTCACTCCCTGTACCCAGGGCCGAAGAAAGAAGTAGAGGACATCCCATCAAGCAATGCACAAGGTATCTCAAGCATACAGTGTATGACGGTCACACATATGTTTGTGGTGTTTCTTGTTTCTTGGATTAGGACGTGGCCTTCATGGGAAGGAAGACCTTCTCGGAAATCTGAAGCCACTCGCCATTGGCCTCGACGACGCCTTCCACCTGGCCACCGCACCCCAAGACACAGTCATGACAGTCCGATGAAAAAGCAGACCCTCTTTGACTTAGTGATGTAGACCTGTTGGCGTTGCAGTCCAAAAATGCACAGCATATGTCAAAACATAGCAAAACAGTATTGCTTTTTTACCTGCCAAAACAGTGATTTCTCTCTTGACATGTCCTTTCCTGAGACTCTGACGGTCTGGCCCTGCTTCGCATAACGGCGATACCTATCAAATGACAGTGACTAAAACAGATCATGGCGTGAAAAGACACGCACAAAAAGCCAAGTTGATCTACAGGCCTTTAGCCACGTGCCTTCAAACTTGTGTGCTGGGGTGTGGTTGTATCGAGTTTCAGACATCATTCCTGGGCAACCCAAGAAGGAGTCCTTGGTCTATGGCCATCTAAGGCCTGTGACTCTGACAAATGACTTGTCCATCCCACCTGTCTTCCAGGTCCATCGACCTCAGCATGAGCTTCACAGGTCGCCTGCCCAGCTGACCCCACCAGTGTCCAATAATCTGAGTCGAAGAGCTGCAGAGGAGGTTCTTTACTGAACGCAGTCCCAACACCTGGTCTACTCTATATATGCATATGTTATCATATTATAATATATATATATATATCCGCCGACCCCACACCGTGGGGTGAGGCGTGACTGTCGATGTTAGCCTTAGCCTTAAGCCTTAGCCTTAGCCTTAGCCCTAGTCCTTAGCCTTAGACCTAGTCCTTAGCCTTAGACCTAGACCTAGACCTTACCTCCCCTACCCCTCCGGACCCTTGTTGCAGTGACGAATTCCCGACCTGATGGTCACCTGGATTGTCCAAGATTCTGCCATCCCAATTGATTTACATCTTGGGGCACCCTCTCGACCCGCGCGGGAAAATAAGCACGGTCCAAAATGGTCCTGGGCTCGACTCCCGGGCTGGTCGCGGCATGGTCCCGGCCAATGCCCTTGCTTTTTCGTAGATTTTGTCACGTTTTCTGTTGGTTTATGAGATTTTCAAATGCTTTTCTGGCATTTTCCTAGGAATGCTCTAGGCTTTGTCTTTTTGGGTACCTGCTTTGGTGGTGCTGGGTTGGGTCTAAATTGGTAAACCTGGGAGGTACCCAAAAAGTCGACTTTTTGGGTACCTGCTTTGGTGGTGAAGGGTTGGGTCTAAATTCTTGGGCAATGATCGGGGTTCATGCAAGAGCTGACGTCCGATGGTAAATCTGGGAGGTACCCAAAAAGTCGACTTTTTGGGTACCTGCTTTGGTGGTGCTGGGTTGGGTCTGCACTCTTAAGGCTAAGGCTAAGGCTTAAGGCTAAGGCTAACATAGAGCAAGGCTAGCGCTAAGGTTCTATCCCTTGGGGGTCGGCGGCTGCAGGCGGTAGCCTGGTAAATATATATATATATGTATATTTATGTGTAAATGTGTATATTGTATATCTACTGTACAGTAATGTCTAGTCACCGGGGAGGCGATGGAAAGCGAGACCTCCACTCTTTCTTTCATCACGCGTCACGCAACAACACTGGCTTCACTGAGAGCCCCAACCGCCGGTACTGGACCCCTGGATAAGGAGAAGGTACCTGGCAAGAACTACTAGGAGCAAGGATGCTACTAGGGGCTCCTGGCCTTGCTACTAGGAACAAGAAGCTAGTAGGAGCAAAGGGCATCTCTACTAGGATCAAGGACGCTACTAGGGGCATGGTACCTGGCAGGAGTGTGTGTCCCGGCCTCGTCAGCCCACCAAACTCATTCTCCGCTAGGGCGGAGAATGAGTTTGGTGGGCATAGAAAAGGAATCCCCTTGTAAAGAAAAGGTACAACCTCGCTGACCAATGGCCATCTGAGACGATTATATGAACGACAACCTCCAAGCAATTCCTGTGGGACGAAAAGAGACACTGAGAAACAGCATGAAACAGCTCGGCAGATTTGAATGACCTGTTAAGCCGTCCCTGCTCATTAACAAGGGACATGCGTCCAAAACAGCAGCCAGGTATTCCACCGTGGCCTTTTCCGCGGTGCAACACCTGAATTTCCTCACCCCGAGTTGCGGTGACCACATGTGACAACCACCAGTTGCGAGACGACACGTGGGAGGTCGTACTGCGTGGGAGGTCTTGGCGCCTGAATTCGAAAGTACTGCACCTCCTTCGATACCAAAGACTCCTGGCATATGCCCAGGGCAGGCCAGTCAGGTCGGTCAAGTCGGTGACCCTTAGCTTCACCTTCGCCTTTCTCTTTCAATTTGGATGTCATCCACCCTGAGAAAGTTGAGCAACCTTCGTGAAAGTGGCCACTATCACACCCCAGCTGAGTCCCAGGTCCTGTGCTTCCGTGCGGATCGCCTGCAAATGCGTGTGAACATCTGAAGGAATCTTTGTAGTCGACGGAATCATCTTATTGGCCCCGCTAGAACTGCATTCATCACGGTTGATCATGCTCCGGCAAACAACCGGCATGACAAATCATGACAGATTGGTCCAACTAGATCATGACGATTACAATAAGAAGTCCAACAAACTTGGGACCATGGACCAAGAAAAACTCTGGGTTTTCTTCTCAGCAACCACGTCATTGATAAAAAGAATTGGCAAACAGTCCAAGATTTTCCACTCAGCCTCCACGCTCCACACGAAAAGCACCAAAGACTCCCTGAGACCCTGAGAGTTAGCTCCCAGCGCCTCTTGGATGGCAAGCCAATTGCTGTTATTCTCAAAGAACCTACCATGCGCTGCAGAGCCACCATCAGTCAGGGTGGGGCAAATAAGAAGAACGTTGAAAAGGTTTTGTGTGGAACCACTACAGTAACTAGTCTTCTCAAAAATAAAAATAAAAATAAAAACGTAGAGTCATGTGTAGTTGTTTTTTCGAGTCTGTGCCCGCTTTTTTGGAGGTCAACGAAGACATCCTTTGCACAAGACACGTGTGACTTGAAAGATGTTGGAATGCATAGACGACCGTTATGCTACTAGGGGCTCCTGGCCCTACTACTAGGAGCAAGGACGCTACTAGGGGCTCCTGGCATCGCTACCAGGAGCAGAGGACGCTACTAGGGGCTTTTGGCATTACCGTTCTGCTGCCTTTCCCAATCAGACGCCGGAGCTCTAGACCTCCCTCTTTTAGGCCCGGCCGGCAGCCTGCCTGTTTAAAAGCTCTTCCACCCGCTGGTCCAAGTCATGCCTCTGGTGATGCTGAGGTTCCCAAATTGATGGGACTTCATGTCAGAACTCCTGAATCTTGGCCAAAACTAACAATGCGACCGAATAGGTTTTTGACTGGCAAAGGTACCATCTCACTCTCGTGCCTTCATCTATACATATATAGAACAACTAGTTACTGCCATAGTCTATTTTAGTCGACCATAAACTCTCTTCAGTTTCAAAGGGAGAAGCCTTTGAATCCGAGCACTACCCTCCGTGTTCAAAGGGAATTCACCCCATAATTTTGGTCCGTCGAACAACAAGGTTCTGAAAAAAAAGACCTCTAGAGACGTTCCTCGCTCCCGCGCCTTGCGCCATGCACCACCGATCTAAAAAGCGACAGGCACCGACAGAAACCGCCAAACCCAGAGTCCGTCCCTCAAACACTGAGAGTTCCAGCCAATTCACCTCGGACTCTTGCGGTACTTCTACCTGGCCAAGCAACGCCCACGGCCCGCGAAGAAAGGATTTGTTTTGGGGAATCCAAAAGGGTGTCCCCTGGCTTAACAGGCCATGAACCAAGTGATTGTCTTGCTGTTCTTTGTAAAGTGGAAGGCAGACGTGCCGATGCGTCTAGATTCTAGGTGATGTCGCAGCTTCCAAAACAGCACTGGCTCATCTTGGGAAGCAAGACATCAACAGCTGGGCCAAACGTTGCAAAGGGGAGGCCTCAACATCTGGGCACGCTAAACCTAGACACTGCCATCTGGTAGTTCTGGCAGAACAAAGCGCCTCAAGGCTCTGGCTCAGGTCGCCTTGGCATCCAAACCCTGTCAACGTCCAAAAGAAGAAGTTCTCAAGTTCTGACACAAACGTCAACCGCATGTGGAAGTTCATATGTCATGTTTGCCATAGCTTCGTGTCAATGGTCGCGCACAGGGCCCTGTGGGGCATTGTGTGCTCATGTTCCCTTTCCATAACAATGCTTTCGCCATTGTACCACAAGCTTGGCTTGAATCAAGAGAATACCTGGAGTCCCTCGGTCTCTGACTAGGCAGAGAAAACTCAACCCCGCATGAACTGACCACTTTAAGTGCACACAACCTGGAACATGAATAAAAAGTAATTTTTCGCAAATGTTTTGAAGTACCATCATTCACACAAAGATGTATAGTCCCACTCACGGATGGAAAAAAGCTGCTGCCACGCCAATCTTTTTGGCCGGGCTCCGGCGGCACGTGCGCCGGAGAAAGCCCTGGACAGCAGGTCTTGCCCTGTTTGGACAGCAAGGCTCGGTGTTTGAGTTATTTTCATTGCTGTTGAGGATTCATCATTTGGCTGTGGATAACCCTGTTGAAAGCTGTGACTTTCAAAAGGAACGTCGAAATCAACAGGACAGTCTACAAATATAATGCCTTGTTTGACCAGAGAGCCAATCACTTGAACCACATGAAATCGACTTTGTGAAGGTCTTGGGGTCCCATAATTTGAGACCCAGCATGGCAAGATGGCAACAGACTTCTGCTGCTTTCATCTTCACATCCGACCAGGATTCTCAACACGTAAGGCATGGAACACGTCTTTGCATCTTCAACAGCAAGCCCATGTTGTCCTGGGAAATCCACTAAAACTCTTCAAAAAGTTCCGGGAAGATCATCAGTTCAGGCTTGCCGTCGAGTCTTGTGAACTTTAGGCCCCGAAGATTGAGGAAGAAGGTCTTCCATTGAGAGTACTCTTCTTGACGGACACTTGCTCAAAAAGGCACAAGGCTGGTGAGTCGCGCAAAGTCTGGCTTTTGTGAAACCCCATCCTGGTCACCTTACAAAATGGGAGAGAGAATTCCGGGAACCCCCCCCCCGAGTCGTATCCTTGCCACAACCGATGGCTTCTAGTCTATGTCCTCTTTCACCTACACAGCAACCCGATGGCAATCCTGAACCCGTGGGCGAGCCGGACTCGCTTGGCTCAGCTTCTCGTTTCCCCCGAAGGGAGCCTCAGCCCGATTTGACTGCCAGCTGACCAGGTGAACCTGGTAGCAAAACCTGCTTTTCAGGCAGGAAACAAACTGGTTGTGGGGTCTCCAACCTTCTGCATAACACATGATGAATTTCTGTAGCACAGGATATCAGTATATCTTCGGTCTGCAAAAATGAAAACTAGCAAAAATTGGAAACTTGCTTCGGCTAATTGTCTTTCGAGTTTTGCTGGTTCCCCTACAAGTCCTTCTATCTCTCTGGAAAACAAGAATGCAAACTTGGCAGAGTTCGTTTCTTATTGAGCGTTCAAAGGTCTTTATGAGAGAAATTGCAGGCTGCATCCTTGGTCTTGAGATCGCCTCTTCCGGCTAACTCCAGACCTTGCAATGGCACTTGGCTGCGTCCCTATGTTCCCGAAGGACGCCTTTCAGAAAACCATCCAAATTTTAACCCCGCGCGCATAGTCCCACATTGTCGCAATGTCTGCTTCTTCAAACTTCAAGAGGCTCAAGGTCCACCACATTGTGATCCAAGTCTTCAAATTGAACCTCCGCCATGGAAGACCAATGCTCTTCTTGTGTGTGTGGAATCAAAGAGCGACAAAGTTCTATGCTTCACATGCCAAAGTCTTCTTCAATGAGATGATCTCGGACTCTCAGAGAAAAAAGGTCACACTGCAAGTCCCAAGTCAGTGCAGTACCCCTTGGGTGCAACCATTCACGCTGTTTCGTGACAGACAAGCATATTTGAGCGACTCACTACTGTAGCAAGCGGAGAAACAAAATGCTCAGTGGTCCTCAATGTCCTTTTTCAAACGGAATTGCAGTTTGGGCAAGCTGCTAGCTCGCCGGCACCCCTTGGGAAAGGCTCCCCTGTTCTGATCAAAGTTATACAAAAGTTGTACACTTGCAGCCAAGCGGCACTCTTCAAAGCTGTACAGCCAACGCTTCTTTTTGAGGAACTTTCCTCAGTCAAGGCGTCTCAACAGACTTTGTTCAGGCCCCCAACAAAGGTATCTGCCAACCGGACAGGGCCGGGGTGGTGATGCTAATGGTGCTGGTGGCACATAAAAGCATATTGTGCAACCATGATGGAGGCAAGTGGCCCCTCAGTGGCTCACACTTGTGGCTGTAGCTTTGTGTGCTTGTGGTCCATGGTTCGAACGCGTCGTGCATCCCACCCTGTGTCAAAAAGAAACCACAGTCGTTCAACTTGGCAAGACGAGTTCGATCGCATGGAAGGAGCCGCAACTTCTTTTTTGAGATGTGTACAAAGCAGTTTGTTGGACCTGCCAAGACCTTCTGTGCGCGCGGTATGAACTTGCGGGCGGCTGCAATGACTCACTGATATACTTGGTCCAGGTGGCGATGAGGAACCAACATGGCCACCCCTGAAAAGCCCAGACTCTCCAGATAATGATCAAGCTGCTATGATTGACAAGCAACCGCCACCAGAGTGTCAAACGAGTGGATCATGGAGACCCCAAAAGAATTTAAGGAGTAAAAAGAACAACCGCCTCCAATACCCCCGCTTTGGAAACCCTGGTGAGGCAGTCTCCAAACCCAGTCTTTTCTTGGCCGATTTTCGAGATCACTTTCTGCTTTTGGACTCTGAGAGTGGATCATGATCCACTTGTGACTTTTTGTGATCCTCACAGAGAGAGGGCAATTCTTTGTCAAATGCAGGCGGTCAATAAGGCTCCAAGCGGCCTTCTCCCGTTGCTCCGTGGTCAATGTCTGTAAGGATGGCAGTGCATGGATGATGTTGGAGCGAAGCCCCTCCTGGACCCACACAGAAAGCTCCACAAACACGCTGCCACACATGAACTCTCTGTTCTCAGCACACTATCAGCCATGAAAACATCTTTGTCTCCTGCAAGTACTTTGAGGACTTATGGACCTACACTTCTTCATGTTCGACTTTCGCTTGGAAGCGACGGTTTCCACTTCACTCCTTCAAGGCGACATGCACCAAGCGCTGTCGATCAATGCTGCTCAAGGACTCGAAGGAATCAGAGACAATGAGCACCTGTCAACTTCGTGCGAAATCGTCGTGTTTCAAGGTGAATGGATGTGGGTTGAAAATCCACCAGGTGGGGGAGGCATCCATGGAAGCAAAAACAAAATGCTGCTGTGCTGGGTGTTCAATTTGACCCACACCCAACGAGGTCTGTTCAACTGACATGTTTGTTCACCAACCTGTTTAAGGTATCTGGGTCGGGTTATTAGGGGTAGTCATAGTCCATGGGTGAGGAACAAACAACCAGGAACCATGATATCGTCGCTGCCCGTCTCGAAAGAATGTGACTCCAAAGCCACTCGCAGCCACGCTCCATGTCACTCAGATTGAGCACTGCAAGTGAGCCATTTGGAAGGTTGAAGAACAGCGAGCCACCAAAGCTCTGTGGAGCCAAAACATGTAGCCCCAACCTGGCCCTGTTGGGAAAGTAGTGAAGGTAGAACAAATCCCATTGGCAGAGCTTGACCATCTACTTAACAAAAGTCAATGAAACCGCAACTGAATCTGTCCATCATTCTACACAGGTTGGCATGGTTTTTGAACACCCCTTCACAAAGAGCGGCTGAATTCTGTATGTGATATGTTGCGCTCTTTGATTTAGCCACATGATAGCGGGGTACAAATTGGTCGAACCAATTCTGCTCTCTGCAGGCTGGTGACTCCAAGGCAAGATTCCAAGACACCTTTACGAACCAAGAACTTGCAGGTCCCAAGCCACATGGCAGGATCGCTGCACCTTGCCAACCTTTTGGGGAGTCCATCGCAACAGTGGTCGAAAAAGTTGGATCGAGTTCGATCGGCACCTTCAGCTCCTTGCCCTCGGGGTGCCGTGATCGACCACTCCCGTCGAAGAAGCCCTGGTTCGTGTGACCATCACTGACGTCCTCGAGATCAGGTGACCATCAAACCAACAAGCTGATAGTTAAAGGAAATTGGTTGTAACAACTACCAAAGGACACCAGGGATGTTAGGATATGTGTGGTTTAAGTTTGGGTTCCCATTTTTTAATTCTCAACCCCCAACCAATGTTTTTCACTTACGCCTTGTTTTCACCCCCCCTTGACCACTTTTCTAACCCTTCCCGGAAAGTATGTTATTTAGAGAGCGGGGGGTCATGAGGGGTGGAGTTGTGAAAGTTTTGACTTTGCAAGTTGAAGTGATAACAACACTATGTAACAAAGCAGCGCATGTTCTTGCAGCAAGCCTTTTTTGACAGACACACACATCTTCTTCAAGACTGGAGCCTTGGCACAGGCATAGGAATGCAAGTTTTCTTGGTTCTTGCTTGGAACTTGCTCAAGTAGAGAGCTTTCTTGCAATCGATTGTTTCATTGCGCTCCTTGATGAAATGTAAGACCTTGAAAGCACGCCGAAGAGGTTTCGTTTGATTCAGCAATCTGGCATAGCTGCGAAACCAGCTGAACACCTGTTCTGCTGCGGACATGTTGACACCCTTGAGGCGCTTCGCAAGGCGACGCACATGCAAGGGACTGCAAGGGCACCACACCCCAGTATTTGATTTGCTTCAAGCTGGAACCATTCACAGCAGATGGGGCGAAGGCGCCGCTCTGTCCAAGATGAAAGCATTCAAGTTTTCGTCGTAGGTTTCACGTACAACAGGGTTGTCCTGAGGCTTGTCCATACCGCTCACGGCTAGGATGCCCCACTTCTTTGGGTTGACAAGCATGAACCAGCCATGGCTGAACCATATTTTCGAGGTCGACCTTTGTGCTTCGGAGGCTCGCCACATGTGCACTTGACGTGCACCTTGACATGTCCATCTCCCACAATCTCATTCACTTGAGCTTGTCGGTGCTGGG